ATTAATTGAAACAGCTTTATACGCTTTAATCTAGCCTTTTTTAAGATTCGTTTCGTCCGTGACTAAAGAAAGGACCAGTGCTGAACAGAAACAATGTAACCTTTTTATTACCATTACAATGACAGCTACCGTCGTAATTTTAATAAAAATGTTTTAGGTATATTCATTTCCAAATTATTGGAAACATGATAAGTTGAAAGATTCCGGATATGATATAATCTACCAAAGTAATTTTCATTAAAGACATCTCCGATTAACATGAAAACTTTAACAAGGATTATGGACCTGTGATGTTGCAATAATTTAATGACTCCATATTATTTCATAAACGAAGAATAATTAGAATATAAGTACACCTTTGAATCCAAACGACACTTACATTCGTGTGGTGTGTAGCCATCATAAAACACAAGATATTTGACAGATGCCTGAATCCCGCTTCCGACATTTTTAAGATAATCTTGCATATATACAAGTTCCGAACAACATCATTCGGACCGTCGGTCTACCGAGCAATACCACCCGCTCAGTGGATGATCTTCCCTTTGTCGTATATCTCCCCACAATTTGTTCGTATTACATTGCGTGTCGTAAAACGTTTTTGTGTTACATTGCGTGTTTCAAAGACATCCGGTTATTGAAACCGGCATTACTTACCATCTTTGTTTCCTAGAACCAATCCTTGTATGTAAACTTACCGAGGCTTTATCTGCTGAGCTCTAAAAGAATAGAGAATGTTGATGAAATGGTTTTTGGAACAGTTGGTAAGGATCTTGTTAATAATGTCCGCTACATTAGATTTGAAATAAACCATTAGTGGTGTAGCGAAGGGTCATAGCTTCGCCGAATGCGAGGGCGACCGCAGTGGCGCTCAGCCTGAAGGAATTTGCTAATAATAGCCCTAGCAAAAGCAGAGCTGAATCTACGACCGAATCGCGACCAACTGAGAAGATCCGGCGAGAAACTCAATCGGTCCACGAACTACATAACCTACTAACCTACTGTGTCTAATGCTGCCAAGATTCCGGCTTGGGAATGAGCTCCCCTCCGCGGTGTTTCCCGAGCGCTATTACATGTCCTTCTTCAAACGAGGCTTGCGGAGAGTTTAACACAGTAGGCAGCGGCTTGGCTCTGCTCCTGGCGTTACTGAAGGCCATGGGCAACAGTAACCACTCACCATCGGGTGGGCCGTATGCTTATCTGCCTACAAAGACTGCCTATAAAAACAAAATAAAAAATAAAGATTTCCAAATAAAAGAAGATATAACTAAGTGTACAGTGGCGTCCCACTAAATGCGACGTTAATGCGACTAAAGCCCGGGGGTAAGAGCTATTACTTTTTTTTACTACATTAATGGATGGACGACCTTAAAACCCGCCTGGTGTTAATGGATACCGGATCCTATAGACATCAATAATGTAAATGCCGCCACCCACTTTGAGACATGAGTTCTAAGTCTCAGTTTTACAGTACAACGACTGCCCCACTCTTCAAACCGAAACGCATTACTGGTTTCCAGCAGAAATAGACAGGGTGGTGGTACCTACCCGTGCGGGCTCACAAAACACCCTACGATCAGTAATGTATTCGAAAAACAAGTTAAATATTAAAACTCAGGTGTAACATTTAATAACTTACCACAGAAGTGTTCGCGGAACTCTAAAATAATAAAGAATTTGATTATATTTGAGTTAAACGTGTATATTGTATTTAAAGCTTCCTTAGTGTATATTAACTTACCGCAGGCGAGACTGTGGAACTCTAAAATTAAGAAGAACGTCAGCATATTTGAGAAATAGATTGTGGAATTAAAAACTACCCTACAATTAATGTATTTACTCACAGCGGCCGCATCTGTAGAGGTCTAAAATATGGCAGAATTCAAATATATTTAAGTAAAAAATAATAAGTATTAAATCAAGTATTCAATTAATAATTTTTATACAAAAAAGACATACCGGATCTTCTGATTTCTAAAAATAAATACGTTTAATTTTAAATTGTGCGACATTGTTTATCTCTTAATGTATTATGTCAGGGAAATATTGAGGTTAAGTCTTTTGGCTGAATGGCAAAGAGTTAATTGAACTTATATAACTTATGTAACATATTTTGATTTTGTTAATATGATAGAAATAAGGAGCACCATCTCAGTGTATTAAAAGTTCCCGCTGAAGGGAAGAGAAGACCTTAAAAAACTCACCGCTGGCATCATTTGAACTAAGATTAAGCTCAAAGCAAATATGTATTTTCCTTGAAGCATTCTGAAATGGTAACCACTGATTTTTAGATTGAAATTCTATTGTCATGTGATTTAAAGAGTTGAGAAACTGATGAAAGGCAGAGGAAACAATGCAGCCACTTGGAAGACAAGTACAAAGTTGCTTATTTTAGAGAAGAAACTGTTTATCTGTTAACCCAGGATAAATGATAAATCATACTAGAATCTATACTAATGTTATAAATGTGGAAAGTATGTTTGTTTGCGTCTTTGTTTGTCTTTCTTTCAAGTTGAATCTAAGCAACTGGTTATCTTTTTTTTTTTAATAAATAGTGTGGCGGGTAGCCGTCTTAGAGCTTATGTTATGTATGTAAGTTCGCATGTATACAAGTTCCGAAAAACAACATTCGGATCATCGGTCTACCGAGTAATATCACCCGCTCGGTGGAAGATCTTCCCTTTGTCGTTAAGGCCGCTGTAACTATAAGTACAGTAAGATTGGGGTTCCTCCCAAGAGACTATAGTTAGAATAGGGAATAATCTAGGATGTCACAATACTCTTATTGAATTGTTACATTTAGCTTTGTTGAATCGAAAATTACTTTTATTTAGTGTTTAAGAATATTAAATAGTTTAATTTAGTCATCAAAGTTTTGTAACTTTTTTTTTCTTTTTATTGCTTAGATGGGTGGACGAGCTCACAGCCCACCTGATATTAAGTGGTTAAGGCCCATAGACATCTACAACGTAAATGCGCCACACATCTTGAGATATAAGTTCTAAGGTCTCAGTATAGTTACAACTGCTGCCCCACCCTTCAAACCGAAACGCATTACTGCTTCACGGCAGCAATAGGCGGGGCGGTGGTACCTACCCGTGCGGACTCACAAGAGGTCCTACCACCAGTAAAGATATTAAACACTTAAACACATAAAAAAGTAAAAAAGTTATTAGGTCGCGTAGCGTGTCTATGTCTAACAGTGGACTAAAATAGGATGTTAAAGGCCATGATTAAGGAGAGTGACATAGGCTTTTTTTATTGCTTAGATGGGTGGACGAGCTCACAGCCCACCTAGTGTTAAGTGGTTAAGGCCCATACACATCTACAACGTAAATGCCACCACCCACCTTGAGATATAAGTTCTAAGGTCTCAGTATAGTTACAACCGCTGCCCCACCCGTCAAACCGAAACACATTACTACATTACGCAGAAATAGGCGGGGTGACGGTACCTACCTACTACCAGTGAAAAATAAATACAAAAATAACCTGAAAAAAACATCTACTTCTAATGTAAAAGCAATTTTAATCGCGTTTACGCCCCACATATAACCGAAGAAGACACCAAAAATATATATTATTGTATATCGAGGGCTGAAATGTTATTTGGTTTAAGTGACATTTTTAGTACTCTACAGGAAAGCCATAAAGTTTAAAAATTTGGAAAGAATATAATAATAAAAAATAACTTCTCCAGCTATTTCGCTAATAGAGTAAACTTAATTGAAGTTCAATTAAAAACATCCAACTTTTGATGTCGATAGCAAATAAAACGCACCTTTAATTACAAAGATAATAAATGTTGCGTGTTAAGCGAAATGTCGCTTAAAACAAATATATATTATCGTCGCTTTTATAATATTCACCTGTACATATAAATTTGGTTTTCCAAATACAATAATCGAATATTATCAAGCCAGTGTGCGCCTAACGTTTCATATAGAATTTCTGTTTCGGCAATAAAATTGTTTATCGTGAAACTAAAATTTATTATTACACGTTGTAAATTCTTAACTTGATATTCGGTTTCATTGTTGGGCAGTTATACGAGTAAGATCGATCGAGTATCCCAAAAGCGGTTTTGAGCATGGATGTGGATAGGCGGCAATTCCACAATTCGTCGCGCCCTAAAGGATAAAGCATCCATTTAATGTACAGACTGACTCGGCAGGTTGTGGGTTCCGCATTGGGCAAACATTCGTGTCAAGAACTTTGTTTGCTCTTGGCCTATGCTCATCTATATCTATACTAATATATAAATCTACAGTGGTTTTTACGGATGTTCCGTTATAACTACTGAACCGTACATCCGATTGACTTGAAACTTGGTATCCATAAAGAAAATACATGTACTTAATGGATAGGTTAATATTTATATGAGTGTTGGACTCCCTACACAGTTGTGAGGGCGTTAATGATGAGAATCTTTGTGGGGGTGAGAAATAATAATGTTAATTTTAAATGCCCAGCGATGCGGACGGGTACAGCTAGTATCTATATATGTATACATTTAAACGTATATAAGTATTTATGTCAGTCTCTGGTACCCGTTATTCCCGATCCTGCGGACAGAATGGAAAGCAGTCGACGTCACCCAAAACACGTCATTTCGGATCCTCCCGATCCACTAACGGTGCTTTTAGGTACCTCAAGCACCGGTCATCGTCCTCGTCGAACCCGTCGCTTGCGAGGAAGGGCTCTACGAGTAAATTAATCCACAGACACAGCCCACTGAGTTTCTCGCCGGTTATTTTCAGTGGGTCGCGATTCCGATCCGGCGGTAGATTCAGCGAAGCACTGCTCTTGCCAGAGCTAGTGTTAGCAAACTCTCTCAGGTTGAGCCCGTGAGCTCACCTACCCGCGCGTATCTGGAATAGCCTCTTAGATTACCAGCGAATAGGTAGAAAAAAAAAAACATCGTTTGATAAAAACCAATTCCACAATTTTTTTTCGTAATTACTATACAGACACAGCAACAAAAACAATAAAACGAACTCTCATACAAATATATACAATAATTTTATTTACATATAATTTTATATACAATGTTCAATTTGTTCATTTCGCTTCCTCAGTCTTCTCTTTGTACGTGACAACGCCTTTCTCGATCATCTCCGGTATTTCCACCGCCAGCCAGGGACCCAGCTAGAAAGGAAAGTGTAATTGGCAAGTTGCAGCATCTTCCAAGAAAGATTTACATATCGACGCTTGAAAGGCAAACGTGACTAAGCGACAATGCGTAAACTTTACAGTAGACTAATTTAAAGTTGAAATACCTGAAAAAAATTCTATTTTAACGAATCTAGTTGTAGGATTGAAATGATTTTAATAGACCTAGAAATATATATTTTTTGCGCATCGAATATGGTTATTGCCTATCATTTATGTATAAAGCAGTTATTGTCGCTTAGTCACGTTTGCTTTTCAAGCATCGATACATATTAACTACACTAATCAAACCCAGGAGGTTTCTGAGTCGATAAACAACAAACGTAAGTCGTCGTGGCCTCAAGGATAAGACGTCCGGTGCATTCGTGTTGAGCGATGCACCGGTGTTCGAATCCCGCAGGCGGGTACCAATTTTCCTAATGAAATACGTACTCAACAAATGTTCACGATCGACTTCCACGGCTATTCTCTTGGGTAAATACCATGAGAACTCACCCCAAGAGCCATGGCATGGGCAATCCCAAACCTCGGCACGTTCCTCGCCCACAACGGCTTGAAATGATCAGTGAGGCATATCTTGCCACCTCGGTACATCTTCGCTGTCTTACCGTCAAGACCGGGTAGGGCTATTTCTGGTGCGGTCTTTGGATATGTTATCGGTATCTGAAATAGTAAGTGTGTATAAGTCTAGATAAAGCCATGACGTCATAAGGGACTTGCCAATAGCCATAAAAATAATACGCATTCATGAATTTTTTTTACTATAATGAAAATAATGTCATGTAATAGAAATCAATGAGGCATTTAAGCATATTATTTATTGTACTGTACGCCCCTGCGAGAAGAAAGTACTATTATTCTATACATTACTACACCGAAGAAATAATGAGTTTCCAATTGAAACGGTTATACAACTGTTACAAGAGATAGCCTCTTTTTATTGCTTAGATGGGTGGACGAGCTCACAGCCCACCTGGTGTTAAGTGGTTGTCGGAGCCCATAGACATCTACAACGTAAATGCCGCCATCTACCTTGAGATATGAGTTCTGAGGTCTCAATTTTTACAAGTGATAAAAATGGTATACAATGAAATCAAGACATCAGTCCCATATCTGAAGTTGGAAGACCGATAATGGTCTTCCTGCTAAATAGAGTCAACATGCTCTTCGCTCTTGCTATAGAGCTGTTACTGTAGAAACTGCACATCTTTGATTCCCTAATGTGAATAGGCTGCAATTCGCATCAAACTCTTATACATACTTATAAGTGCCTCTGTTATGTGCAATCCAGTTACTGACTGACTGATGTGTAATCAGTGTTGTGACTAGAAGCGATAATTGAAATTTTCGACGTTGTTATAATAAAGTAGATACATAAGTGAACTGATCTGTTACCGAACATGTGTGCAATTTTTGTAATTCACTCAATAAAATAATAAAACATCATACAAGTGTATGAGAAACTCATAGTATTCAAATGTTTTTGGTTATAATAAATGAACATTACTCACATCAAACTCAAGGTCAAACTCATACTTCAGGAGGTTATGAACAAACCAGCATTTGCCGAACCATCTGGTCCCGGTTTTGTCAGACTCGAGACGGAACCAGTCATTATCAGCAGACTTGTTGTTCTGTACGTACTGTAGTGTAACATAAAAATATCGAATAATTACTGTTTACGTACAAGGATCTTCTAGTATGGGCAATTTTTATAATTCTGAGCTGTGTGATCCCAATACCATGGTGAGCAATAGAATACATCATGTGGTGTCCATGGAATTAGCTGTGATAACTTATTGCAAAATACAATATGGTTGAACGAATTTGAAGAGACCCAGGCCTTAAATGAGTTCAAGCCCGATATACTTACCCGGAGACATGAGGTCATTCTCAATAGCATTGTATAGAAGCTGTAATTGTAGAATGCATAGCTGCATCTTGATATGGTAGCGGCACTTAACTGTACAGGCCCACATTACACCCTACCTTGTTTAACCGATAAACATTTATCTGAAATTTTCAATGATTTCCTGAACAGACTTCTTGTTGCTTATAGTCAAAAAACTTGAACCAAAATAAGACACAAAATACGTATACAAGAAAATTATTATCTAAAGTGAAAGTAATTTTTTAGAATTTTAGGTTACATGTATTTGATGCAAAACACGTAAGAAAATACAGAATGTTGCAGCATATTCTTGTGAAAGTAAACTAGAATAAGCTGACCCTGTTAATAGTGAGAATTGAAATACCTTTATGAGCGCTTGGTACTCTTCTTTTAATCTGTTCACCCATAGCTCCTTGTCCCTGGGTCCTGCTTTTGTCTGCAGTAAAGGGATGCTGCTCAAAGTCCTCTTAGTGCCTTCATCAACCATTATTAATGGATATTAATCATTAAAACATTTCAAATATCGAAATATCAATGTCGAAAGTGTACACGTTATTGTGTACGATTGAATGTCAAATTTACATTTGACATCAATAACTTCAGTAACGTGTCAGAGTGGCAGTTACATTTTCCAACAGGAAAGGCGACGGAGGTGATATCCCATACAACGTTATCTTTTATATGCTTTGTCACATAGAAAATATGTAACAGCGATTCATTCGCCAAATGATATCGTTGAAATGTAGTGAGGATCATTCATTTGAGACTGTAATCAATAGGTATAGAATCAAATAAAACGTGTTATTATGAGATGAAATAAAGTGTCTGTACACTTTTGAAAATTGACAGAGAAGAATTACAGAATTTTTGGAACACAATGAAAAGTGACGCTCACACGGTATTGTTATATTTTCCGACACTTCCATACTTTCATAGACTTTTAACGGTTAAAAGGACACAATATACACCACTGAGTTATAATATTATGGCTGTTAAAGGTAGTTTTCCAATTACAGAGCATAATGCGACTCAGTGACGCACAATACCGAATTATGCTGAAACTTAGTTGAGCATTATGCCGCATAATGCGCTCTTGTGCTGTAATTGGAAAACGGCCAAAGCCATGATAGTGAGAATTTATTGTCAGCTTACTTTTATAGCACTCATTAATGTCAACATGACAGTGACTGATGTATAGCTTCATAATACGTCATTTACTTGTTAATAACATAGACCTTTATGGAAAAGATTCTCAATGTTTTCACACATACTTAGTAAATTTTTAACGTTATTCATTTGAATCGTTATTAATAATATTAGTCAATCATTTGCATAATCATTTGAACATATATTTGAATGTTAACTATCGCTGAAACCGTCGTCTATTGGAAAGAGATCTAAATTTAGATATTGCATTAGCAACAAATAATAGTTTTGAAATACGCGATAGGTATGTTGGATTTTCACTAATTTAATGCTCTCGTCTAGTGCATGGTCATGTGAGCTTATCCTAAATGAATTGGTGCGATCGTCTTGAATATCGGCGAGTTTGCAAAGCTTACAAAGCGCGTAGCAATAGCTTGGTGTTGTGGTTTTCCGTGAATATATGTGTATCCGTGTAACTATACTTGAGACCTTAGAACTTATATCTCAAGGTGGGTGGCGCATTTACGTTGTGGATGTCTATGGGCTCCAGTAACCACTTAACACCAGGTGGGCTGTGAGCTCGTCCACGCATCTAAGCAATAATAATAGAATAAAAAAAATCAATCGAAGGGCCACCCACCAAAAGGTCAGGGTAGCCGTCATCAACTGTGTTTTTCATATACCAAAGGCCAAGAAGTTCGAAAAGAAATAGATTGGTAGGCAGGTAAACAGGCAAAAGTGACAAAAAGCAAAAGCAAGCAAAAAGTCTCACATAGTCATCTGGCCCCAATAAATGTTTAAATGAAAACATGTATAGATTCTAAAGAACCAGACAAAGAGCAAACAAACTTGTTCATCACATGAATATTTGCTTGTTGTGGGAATCAAACGCACAACTGTTGGCCCAGTAATCAAACAGTCATTATAGACACAGTGTTACATAAATTATAATTATGTAAACGATTGAATAAAAAATTAAACATACATATCTATATATTAATATGTGATCTTTATGTACCCTTTTACAAACATTGCGCGAGGGAGGAGTACGAAATTTCTTGCACTTATAAAGAATATAGAAAAGGAGTGTAGAATGCCATTTTATTTTAAATTTGCATAAAAAATACATTAAATCAATAAAAAACATTACACACACTACTATGTATTTGAAGCAACACATATTAATATATAGCCTTTGTTTATTGTCAAATGTTTGTTATTAAGTAACGTCTGCAAATTGAGAATAGATTAATATTGTTTGACTTTAATATTATTTGTCTATAGAGTAGTCTTGTTGAAATCTGTGATAAAAAACTATAATAGTCTTTGAAAATAGAACTAATAATGTTCAAACTTATAATTTCATTTCGTTACAGTTGAAATTCGACGACTGGTCGACCACTAGTATATATGAATATATATAAATAAGTATTTACTGGGCACATAATGGGTTCAGAACAGTCATCAGTACCTCCTAAAAGGCAAACCCAAAGAGTGCCACTAGTACGGAGAGGCTATACTATTGCTGTCTCCAATGTACAAGGTAAATAAGTACAATTTCATACTTAAACTTGTAGGGGTTTATATACATTTACAACACATTCTATATTACGACAGTCTGTAGCGTACAGATGGTAGAGCCGGTCGTTTCTTGCCAGGCATCATAAATCATTAGCTACCAATGAACTTTAATTTCTACATACTGCTTAATAGGTGACTGCAACCCAATTATACATCACCTAAAAATTATTATCAAAATTTCTAAATCTCATCTTTACTGGAACGATTTTTATTGTGAAATAAGGCTCCACAAGTTTGTCAATGAACTACTGTTACTGTAATGTAAATATTGATAATAAAGCATAGTCAATAAATATGTAGAGTATAGTCATGCAGTTTTGAGCTATCTATGTATAGAGACGTTACTTATAGTAAGCTGAATTCCTTTCATTTGTAAAGTAATTTGTGATTATAACAACAGTATAGTAACCACAATGTCAGAATTAATATCTAAGGGCTAAGGGCTATTTGGTTTAAGTGACATTTTTAGAACTTTACAGGAGAGCCATTTAAAGTCTAATTTTTTTACAAAATATCATAAGAAAAGAACTTCCTGAGCTATTTTTAATTAAAGGTAAATAAAAAATATTCGATCTGTTTATGTGGATATAATGACAGTAAAAACTAAGATTAAACTATAATAAAAAAACTATGCTTTAATTCATTCACAGAAACATCAAGGCATGACCAGCAGACGAGTGGAAACAATTCACCAGGAGCAAGTGTTTGCTCCGACTCGGAACTGCCTTACATATCATATACTGTTGATCGACCTATAGGGGGTATGTACAGATGTTCACAATTGTAGCTTTCATTTAAAATCAGCTGATGAGTAAGGTCAATTGCATGTCGGTGGCTCCTTAGTGTTGGATTCAAATGATTGTACTTTGGACGTCCACTAAATATTAATTATTGCATTAATATACCACATCTCAGTTACAACCAGATTTATTGTGCAAGTAAAATCTGATCCTGCTGTGAGCGTGATGAAGGAGTTCACCCATCTATAAACAATTTAAAAAAAAAACATACGGGATACAACATTTAAAAGCTAACTTCCTCCTCCTTTCATCGATAATCCTCAATGTTATAACTTCTTTACATTATCACATAAACATACTTAATATTACTTTAACTTACTTACTTTACTTATTATTCCTCATTGAATTTAAGTAATAGTAGTTAAACTAAGATCGAGGCAAAGAGATCGCGCGAGCGCACTCCGACAAGGTGGTTTGATCAAATCCGCACCACACTAGGGATCCCAATCCACGAAACCCTTCACGCGGCCAATGATCGGAGGCGCCGGAGGGATTGCAAGAAGTAGAATCCTTTCAAAATATGATGGTCACGACCCTCAGCAGTAAGGAAACGACGCGAGCAAGAGTTCAACTAAGATTAGCTTAAGTTATCACTATTGTCAGGCGACCCGAGACGCCCAATTTTAATACGCTTTTATTAGCTTCAGACGTATGTATATTAGTATGTAACGGAATCTTTGAACATGATTTTGACCCCCTTCAAAACGTCGGATTAACTCGAAATTTGGTATATTTATTTATTAAGGACCGATGACAATTCAATTATAAATTTTTTTTAGAAAACATTTAAATTCAACTAAAAAATGAAAAATAAATTTGAATTAAAAATAGTGTAAGAAAAAAAGATTTAATTGTAAAAAGCGGGGTGTTGTTCAGAATATTATCAAAATAACCCTTCTACTCACATTTGTTCATAAAATATTTATGATACCGTGCACCCCACGATTTTTTTGCAATAAAATAATTTATTTTCTATTTTTCAGTTGGATTTTCTATAAAAGCGTATTTTGTTAGTTTTTTAAACCATTATAATTTGTATAGATCTATTGTTAATTCTTTGATTATTTCACTGTAGATTCTCCGAAGGCAGCTTCGAAGAGCCAGAGGATCACAGACAAGAAGTCGTTGCTGCAACGCCGCCAGTTGAGCCTGCAGGCGCGTAAGGCGAGACGCACACGGGACATCGTCGTGGTCAAGCCGGCCACTGACGAACAGCTGGACGAGGATATAAGGAGATTACAGGTGAGAAGAAAATTACGTTTTTGAAGTCAAACTTCTTTAGGCGCGTTGAGAGTAAAATTGAACTCGCGACAGATTCGTTACGGCTAGAGAGAAAAGACACAGTTTAGGAAGAACGAGAGTGAGAAAATAGACAGAGCGTCTCATGAACCACTCGACTGTAGAGAGAGGGAAAGGACAAAGCAAGCAAGGTAGTTTCTCTTATACACAGCGTTCCCTATTACAAGAGAAGCATAAAAGAAGTTTCACTTCTTTCACGTGCACCAAGTTGCACGCGCTCCTTTTTTTGTAAATAAAGTTTCACACAGTTGAAGACATGAGGGCAATTTTGAGGGGTTAAGTACAATTTTTAAGATATTTGACTTCTTACATTGAATGAAGGTTTTATGTGCCCAACAACCATATTCGACCTTAAAACGCCGGGTTTAAAGGCTATTTTAAGCCATGTACCTACGAAAAAGTACAAGTCACAAATTTGTATCATATCCCCTTCATCCACTGATGTCTTCAATTGCTACAGATGTTATTAAGTTTACTTTCAACCAGTATAGGGCTTACAAAAAAAAATTTAATTCCAGGAAATACCAACGTTTTTGCCGATAATGAGAGGTACCTTAGGATTGCCCGGAGCTAGAGACACTGAAATATTAGAAGGTAATACATACACGGTACAGATTGCAAAAAAACTTATTTAATTTCTTTAACTTATTATCAGATTTAAGCACCTACAGTAATCCCCCTTATAGCACGGCACTCTTATAAAGCGTTTTCTTATTACGCGATTTCAGTACATCGTATAACACGGATATTCCCTCACGTAACGCGGGAATTAAACACGTTCTTTTTCTGTGCAGTCAAGTTAATAATGATTTGTACAGTTGATAATTTCGCGTACCTTTGCACATTGTGTTAATTGTGTTGTTTTAAAATTAAATGAAATGAATTTATTAAATTTGTGTTCCTAGTTTTGAAATTGTAAAAACAATTGTTATATTGCATTTGTACATTACGTGTTATATGGGGTCATGCAAGCGCGTTATGCGAGAATACTCTTACAACGCGTGTGCTATAACGCGGAACCAATATACCGTGTTATAGGGGGGATTATTGTAGTTTTCGACTTGCTTGTTGATATTGTAAGATCTATTGGCATTTTGTAAGCTCGCACGGATGGAGACAGCAATCTGGTCGCCATCCATGAAGTTTAGTAGGCGATATGAGAGGATATTATGTTATCCTAAGTACTTAACTTTAATAGGATTATAGTATGGCCGTTGCACTATAAAACATGAGATTAAAAACTCATCTCTTAAGATGCTGACGTTGTTGATGTCTATGGACTCTAGTGAATATTTAACACTAAATGGGCCGTGATTACGTCCCTCATGTGAACAATAATTTATAAAAATAATAATCTAAATAGACAATTTATTTAACGAACAGTTTTTGGGGGAGTGAGATTTGGGGACAAAGCAAATTTCGTTTCTTGGTATCCTTAACCCTTGATTTTGTCTGATGGTTTTGTTGTTAGGATTACAATCCTATGTCTTATGGTGGGGAGCACCTTCAGGGGTTAGTAACTGTCTCAAGAAGGGGATTTTAAGTTTGAGTCACTTTTAGGTCTAGATTATAAGCCTTGGGTCCGATTGACGACAAGGTTGCAGGCGCATTTAGCGGCCTGTGCTCATCCACTAGCAGCCGAAGAAGTCAGCCTGGCGTCCAAGATCAAAGAAGTAAGTATTCACGATCCCCTCACCTGCAGTTTGGTTTCCGTCATTTCCATTTAATTAGTAGAGACACCTTACTGGTGGACGGACATTTTATGACTCTGCACGGGTAGGTACCACCACCCTGCCTACCACCCTGCCTGTTTCTGCCGTGAAGCAGTAATATCTTTCGGTTCGAAGGGCGGGGCAGTTGTTAACTATACTTGAGACCTTAGAACTCACGTCTCAAGGTGGTGGCATTTACGTTGTAGATGTCTATGGGCCCCAATAACGTCGATAATCTTCAATGCTAAAGCCAATCGGTCACCGTCCTCGTTGAACCCGTCGCTTGCGATGAAGGGCTCGACGAATAAATTAACACAGCCCACTGAGTTTCTCGCCGGATCTTCTCAGTGGGTCGCGTTTCCGGTCCGGTGTTAGATTCTGCGAAGCACTGCTCTTGCTAGGGCCAGTGTTAGCAACACTCCCGTTTTGAGCCCCGTGAGCTCACCCGCATGTCAAGGAGAAGCTAAAATAGCCTCTCAAGGCTATCAGAAACTTATGGGCCGTCTTATCAGTCAGATGCGGAAATAGCTCGCTTGTACAGTCAGCTAGTGGACAGACAGAGAACCAACGCGAGGCACGCCGAGAGGCTCTCCCGTGTCCATGAGGTGGCCCATCAGCTTTCCCGCTGCAACTCCTTATTAAATCAGGTAAATAACAGACGTGAATGTATAGGCAACCTTCCTATAACACACCGGTTGAGACAAATATACCCCCGCATCAAGTTAGCTTAGGTATCACAGGATACTCAGGATGCTTGCTTGGGCAGTGACATTATATGAGTCCCGCTAACTATCATCCTTCGATGTTCTTTCACAATTTCATGAACCCCCTATAACACGGTATTTTGCAACACGGTTCCACTCTAACACGGAAAGAAAAAATCCCCACAATTCCTCATATAACGCGCTCCTTCTACAACACGATAACGAGATTTTTGTTTAAAATTATATAGAAAATTACATTATGCACTGTGAATACACATATATGGGAATAAACAAAATATTACTGCTTATTTTTCATGTATAATAGATAAAAAAATAGATACAGACATAGTTGAGATGTTTCATACAGAAAGATGACTTCTTTTTGTATTTACTTCTAGTCTCATATAACGCGGTTTCGCACAACACGTGTCTTTGTAGGAACGTATCTACCGTGTTATAGGAGGATTAGCTGTACTAAACTAAAATAATATTTTGTGTGTAAAGTTTTTTGAATTCACTCCTGTAAGTTCATATTGATCAGCTATTTGAAGCTGTTCATAATTGGTCGGAACAATTGAGATTTAGACCTCATGCCTCAAGCGGCAGTGGCGGTGTGAATGTCGAGCTGTCTACGGGCCACAGCGCTTTCTTGTAATCGACAGTGTCCAGTCGAAAATATTATAAAAAATTATACGTTTCTTTTTTTGCAGACCATACAAGACATTGAGGAGTTAAATTTTATTTTACCCGAAGATAAAAGGTTAGCTCCCTTTGTTTGGAACGAAGAACATTGAAACATAAAATATCTTTCTTTTTACTGTTTGTTGTCTGGAAGAAATGGCTATTAACCGATACTCAGACAAAAAACTATAATGAGATTAAATGGTTCTAGATACATAGGAACTCTCGTATTGTGTCAATGCTATTTTAGTATTATAAAATATAAACGAAACTAGTCATTATTATTGAAATTAAATCGCCTATCATAACGCGAAATTAGCTCATGAGTGCTCACGGATGCTCACGAATGTTCACTCGCTCACCGGACGCTCATATAAACAGCGTTACCGGGGTCTATATAGTCGACTCGTGTGCTTATTAAATTCGAGTGTTCACGGGTGCTCACGTTAAATTTAGTTCGATGGGTCGAAGGTTGAGGGTTTCCGAGTGGGATGCTTCCCTCTCGGTCTGTAATGATGCCACTGCGCAAAGCTTGAAGGTGCTTTAGGGGTCCTCGGATGATGACCATATCTCTCCTCAAATGAGGGTGTTCCCGTGGCGGTCAAGTCCTGACTAATGGCGCTCCGGCTGTAACAACGTGTATTCCTAAGACTGTAACATTAAAAATAAAATTGTACCCTCTGAATTTCGTTTTCTTTGTCTTCGTCATTTATATTATAGTTGTAAATAAATAATAGTTTAAAAAAACTAACAAAATACGCTTTTATAGAAAATCCAACTAAAGAAAAGAAAATAAATTTTAATAAATTTGAATTAAAAATAGTGTAAGAAAAAAATCTTTTGTTGTAAAAAAAACCCGGGGGGTGCATGGTATCAGTAGTTATAAATATTTTATGAACAGATATGAGTAGAAGGTTTATTTTGATAATATCCTGAAAAGCGTATTTTGTTAGTTTTTTAAACTGATTTATTTTTCATTTTTTAGTTAAATTTTTTTTTATTGCTTAGATGAGTGGACGAGCTCACTGCTCACGGTGTTAAGTGGTTACCGGAGCCCATAGACATCTACAGCATAAATGCCGCCACCCACCTTGAGATATGAGTTCTAAGTTTTCAGTATAGTTACAGCGGCTGCCCCACCCTTCAAACCGAAACGCATTACTGCTTCACGGCAGAAATAGGCGGGGTGGTGGTACCTATCCGTGCGGACTCACAAGAGGTCCTACCACCAGTTAAACACGAATTTGATAGGATACGACCGAGATTTGCGTTTCAGGTCCCAATCTACTCGAAGCTTTTTGGTAAACAATGAAATCTTCATTCGCTGTTGGGTAAATAGATATAAATATATAGTTTAAAGAAAGTCGAACTTTCTACTTATTTATTAGTTGATCTGAATATTAGAGCGAAGTTATAAAATTATTGTATCGACATCGGACCTTGATGAGTGTGCGAATTTGTCAAGTCAATCTGACGTCTTGGAACGTCGCTGGAACTTCTGAAATCACGACGCAGTCACGAAAGCGTTGCTCTTGCTAGGGCCAGTGTTAACAAATTCTCTAAGGTTGAGCCCCTGATTTCACTAACCCGTCCGGGCGTTGCTGAAATAGCCCTAATCTACTAGCAATTATGTAGGGGAAATAAAATACAAATAAACATCTGAACACACAAAAAAACACAGCATTATGGTCTTCAAGGCAAATAAAAAAACTGCATTGATTTTTAACAATGCATCAAATTAGTCAAAGGTGAAACAAATTAAAAAGTAATTGCATAACTATTTACATTATTAAGACTTATCAAGGTTAAAGTGTTTTGTATTTTACATTACAAAACATTAGAAGGTTAAAATTGTAATGATTAATCTCGTCTTTAACAAACAATGAGTTTGTTTTATTATTTTTTATACTTTTACCTCGGTAGCGTATTAATTAGTTAGATTCTCACATTTACCAAACATTCGCTTGATGAGCACTAAGTTGTTGCTTTTTATCTGTTTATTATATACATGTCTATATATCTTACTATATATTTTAGAGTTTATATATAGGTATGTATATGTATGTTTAGATGCCGTAAATGTCATCATTGAGACGGTCTGGTAATAACCCTGAAGAATATGGAGACATTGAAATTAGTAAAAAATAATATTAACCGTGCACAAATCGCCCACGGTTGTGTGCTCCTAAGCTAGGATTTCTTGTACTATGCGAACCAGAGACTGACTGACATCATCATGATTATCCTGCCCTTCTCCCAGTCACCTAGGGTCGGCGCAACATGTTTTCTCCTTCCATACTCCTCTATCATACACCATTTCTTCGCTCACTCCCCTCTTACACATATCGTCTTTCAAGCAATCCATCCATTTCTTCTTAGGTCTACCTCTTCCTCTATATTCTTCCACATTCATACTTAAAACTCTTAACAACCTCATTGTTATTTCGTCTCATCACATGTCCATGCCATGCCAAACGCGCACTTCTCAACTTCTCTGTCACAGGTACCTACCATTTTCAGACTTTCTCTAACATATTAATTTCTTGTTCTATCGCGCAGTCCGACAAGGTGGTTCGATCCGCACTTCACTAGGGATTCCATTCCACGAAGCCCTTCATGCGGCTAGTGATCGGAGGCGTTGGAGGGGCATTGCAAGAAGTAGAATCCTGTCAAAATATGATGGTCATGACCCTTAGCAGTGTGGAAACGGTGCGAGGAGAGGGTGGCGATATTGATATTTGAACGTCTACTGGCTATTACTTATAACCAATCAACGCCAGCTCATCCGGCAACTGAAGCAACAAACTGGTGGTAGAACCTCTTGGGAGTCCGCACGGGTAGGTACCACCACCCCGCCTATTTCCGCCGTGAAGCAGTAATGCGTTTTGGTTCGAAGGGTGGGGTAGCCGTTGTTGTTAACTGGTGGTAGGACCTCTTGTGAGTCCGCGCGGGTAGGTACCACCACCCTGCCTATTTCTGCCGTGAAGCAGTAATGCGTTTCGGTTTGAAGGGTGGGGCAGCCGTTGTGACTATACTGAGACCTTAGAACTATATCTCAAGGTGTGTGGCGCATTTACGTTATAGATGTCTATGGGCTCCAGTAACCACTTAACACCAGGTGGGCTGTGAGCTCGTTCACCGATCTAAGCAAAAAAAAAAAAAAACGCAGCATCCAATGACCGTAATAATAAACACATACATACATACTAATTTATTCGGTAATTATAAATTCTAATTTCATTTTATGGTAATATTAATTTGCGTAATCGTACGGATCTATAATTAAATATGAAATCAAGAGTTCCGCGTGCAGCTAGTCCGATTAAGGATTTCTAGCGGTGTTATGGGTGCCGAAAAATCACTTAAGAATTGCGAATGAGCGAAATCTTTACTTTATACGAAGTTTTTTTGTTGTTGCTTAGATGGGTGGACGAGCTCACAGTCCATCTGGTGTGAAGTGGTTACTGGAGCCCATAGACATCTACAACGTAAACGCGCCACCCACTTTGAGATATAAGTTCTGAGGTCTCAGTACAGTCACAACGGCTGCCCAACCCTTCAAGCCGAAACGCATTACTGCTTCACGGCGGAAATAGGCAGGATGGTGATACCTACCCGCACGGACTCATAAGACGTCCTGCCACCAGTAATTAAGCAAATTATAATTTTGCGAGTATGATTTTTATTACACGATGTTATTCCTTCACCGCGGAAGTCAATCGTGAACATTTGCTATATACGTCTACTGTGATTTGCAAATAGGAAATCTTCGTGTCGCACAAATATTTGTGTTATTACAATGCCCTTTGCTAAATCATACTTTCGCACTTTCACAATTCAAGAAGTATTTACGCGTTCCATGTGTTACGCCATTAATAACTAACGTTTACTGATTGTGGCAGTCGCCTTGACCCGTCCAAGTGCTTTATGTAACTTCAAGCCTCAGAGTACACACAGAACCCATCCGCGGGGGTCAAACATCTCTGAGAACAAACAAACGCAGATCCGACCTACATCGGGCGCGTTGGCGAAACGACCGTTTGAAATATTCGTGTCCTAATAAGTAAGATGCTGAGAGGCACTGCCGTGTTCCTTATTTCAGTTCGGAAGGACGGGACAATAATGTTACAATAAAATTAAGGTTCCAACGTCATGTCGTCGTGGCCTAAAGGATAAGACGTCCGGTGCATTCGTTTTTTTTTTTTTTTTTTTTTTTTTATGATTGAAGGATTACTGGTGGCCCGGAGGCCTTTCCAGTTTCACCAGGACATGTGGGCGAGCAAAGGCTCAGCCAGGAGGGGTGGGATTTGCTAACAGCTGCCCGAGCGCCTCCGAAGGAGACCTAACAACTCAAGAGTAGCTGCTTCGCGAATGAATCTACTATCGGATCGGAATCGCGACCCGCTGAGAAGATCCGGCGAGAAACTCAGCGAGCTGATTCATGGGTTAGGTTGCACGGCGAACTCTTTGTCGAGTTCGACGAGTACGGTTACCGAGGTCCCTAAGCCTGCTCCTAGAGCTGAAGGCGTCTAGTGCAAAGGTTATTGGATCTGATGGATCCGTAAGGACGTGTCTAGGGCGTCGACGGTGACTGGCTCCTGCATGATCAGGATTCGGGGAGTAGTCAGCGGCGGCAACGATAAGGCGATTATCATGACGCATAGCCTTATCGAAGTATCGTTCCGACGCTGACTTCATGTATTTCCGAATTGATTCGAGGCCCAGGTCGTCGTGTAGGTCAACGTTCCTCACGAACCACGGAGCCCCGACAGCTAACCTGCAAAAGCGGGATTGTAGGGATTGGAGGGTGTCTATGTGTGTGCGGGCCGCGTGAGCGAACACCACACTCGCGTAAGTCATGACGGGCCTTATGCAAGTTTTGTAAAGTGTCACCTTGTTCCGAAGGGACATTTTACTCCGCTTACAGATCATGGGGTAGAGTCTACCGAGAATAAACGCGGCACGGTCACGGACTGATTTTATATGCGGGCGGAATGTCATCGATGCATCCAGGGTAACGCCCAGGTACTTGACCTTCCTGGCCCAGGGTATGGATTGACTAAAGAGAGTAATCGGGGGTGTGAGATTCCTCCTCCTAATACGGGAGGAAATCCGTGTGGAGCTTCCCCTCTGAAATAGCACCGCAGTACTTTTCGCTGGGTTGATGTCTATGCGCCATTTTCGGAACCACTGTCCTAGGGCTAGGGCTGCGCTCTGAAGCTTCTTCGCGATTAGGGACTTGTGGGTGCATTCGTATTGAGCGATGCACCGGTGTTCGAATCCCGCCGACGGGTACCAATTTTTCTAATGAAATACGTACTTAGCAAACGTTCACGATTGGCTTCCACGGTGAAGGAACAACGTCGTGTAATAAAAATCAAACCCGCAAAATTATAATTTGCGTAATTACTGGTGGTAGGACCTCTTGTGAGTCCGCACGGGTAGGTACCACCGCCCCACCTATTTCTGCCGTGAAGCAGTAATGCGTTTTGATTTGAAGGGTGGGGCAGCTGTTGTAACTATACTTGAGACCTTAGAACTTATATCTCAGGTTGTAAATGTCTATGGGCTCCAGTACCCACTTAACACCAGGTGGGCTGTGAGTTCGTCCACCCATTTAAGCAATAAAAAAAATGTCTGAAGACGCACAGGGAGACAATTACCGAACCGCCGCTGTCGTGTTGAGGCAGAAGACTCATGGCTAGCTCCAGTTCTTTTGGAAGGCGGCATCGCTTGGTGAGGGCTCGTAGCAACCGATAGAATCGAGACTGGGTGGTGCTTTACCAGCACAAGTTTTTCAAAGACTCCGTCTGGTGTGCTTGAGGTAGCAACTGCGCTTGAGTTGTTAGGTCTCTTTTGGAGTTGCTCGGGCTGTTAGCAAATCCCATCCCTCCTGCCTGAGCCTTTGCTCGCCCACCTGTCCTGGTGAAACTGGAAAGGACCGCAGATCACCAGTTATCCTTCATTCATTAAAAAGGTAACCACGCGTCTGGTTGTAATGTTACGGACAGGATTCGGACACTCAGGCGACGGGTGGGTCTTAGGTCCTATCCTTTTCCTTTCATCTTCGCTGGCTACCGTGTCAGCGACAGACCCGCATACCGCATATCCTTATGGCGTGCACTTCTCGAATGAAATGCAATGGTTCGAAGATGTTATAACCGTAAACCATCTTTAAAATCCTTTGACCCAAAGCCCTAGATTTTGTCAAAAAGATAGACAAACACGTAACCCAATAACCCAGTCAGTTTTAATGTAATCAATTTTTTGAGCATGCAAATCTTGATTATGTGTAATTTATATGTAAATTGAAATAAAATATAATATTTATGTATTATGTAAACGTTACGAAGGTTTTAAAACTTTTCACTTTTGGATTTTGAATGATATATGTGTTTTAAGGTGTTGTTATTTTTACCCCATGAAATATTACGGCCAATTAAGATTTTTTGAAGTTTTAAAAATTGATGCGCGTTCTGGAAAACAAACCGTTGTGTATATTAGCGTTTCACGAAGTCATTCCCGCCGATGCAAATTCTTTCATTAAACAGATGGTATATTAAGATTTGAAGATTTATATATTGTTTTTGATTCAAACGATATACCATTTACGTGTAAGTTGTGTTGGTGAATATGTAATGAAATTACGACAAAGCATTCCGCGTGCGAACAGGTTTTTTATTGCTAATTCTTTTAAACTTTCGTTATCTATATGAAGCAAAAACTTTGTACCCCTTTTTACGAAAACTGCGCGGACAGAGGACTATGAAATCTCAAACACTAATAGAGTATAATAATATAGAGAGGAGGACGATAGAAAGGAGTGCAGAATGCTAATATTTAAAAAAATATGCATTAATAATACATTAAATAAATAAATAAAATATTACACACACTACCGTGTATTTGACACACATACACATATATGTAAATAATACTCTTTGTTTATTGTCAAACTTTTCTCATTGCTTAAAGTATGTGGTCAAATTGAGAATAGATATTGTTTATCTTTAGTATTATTTGTCTATAGTGTAGTCTTGGCGAAATCTGTGATTATAGAAGTAGGTATAATAAGTCTTTGACAATAGAAATTTAATAATGTTGTCACTTATAATTTCAGTTAAATTATACACGAATTTCGACTACTGCGGGACCACTAGTTATCTTTATAATGCATGCTATAAGGCTCCTCTCCCCTTTATTTTCACACGTTATGAGCTATTTCTATTTCGGCTCTGTTGCAAGTGCCCATGGTCAAAGATATACTGAGTCTATCGAGAATTCATTACATTGGAAAATCGTTGTAACAACCCTTCAACGCTTTGACTGTCGTGTAGGTCACCGGTGCCCTACGCGGCGCACTGAAGTAACTAAGCGCCTGGATTGTCTAACATGGCCTTCTTTTGTTTTTGATTATTTTTTTTACTTAGATGGGTGGACGAGCTCACAGCCCACCTGGTATTAAGTGGTTACTGACGCCCATAGACATCTACAACGTAAATGCGCCACCCACCTTGAGGTACAACTTCTAAGGTCTTTTCAGGTAAGGTCAGTCCTAAGATTCTAAAGGTATTTTAGTATTTTAAGTAATTTAGAAATAGATTCGTTATCAGTATCTTCGGCTTCGTCTTTCTCGTAGTCTACTAGATATTCCGCAGCCTTAGTAACAGATGTCGACAAAGCAAACCGGAGTCAATAGGTTGTATATTCGCGTTCATTACGAGACGTGCTCTTGGCACACCTACCGGTCATCTTTCTCGTCGAACCCGTCGCTCGCGACGAGTAAATTAACCCACAGACACAGCCCACTGAGTTTCTCGCAGGATCTTCTTAGTAGGTCGCGTTTCCGATCCGGTGGTAGATTCTGCGAAGCACGGCTCTTGCCCCGTGAGCTCACCTACTAGTTAAGGTTACGCTGAAATAGCCTCTCAAGGCTATCAGCTTAGGTAAGAAGAAAAAAAAAAAGACACACCTAGCATTAACGCTACCACTCGAGACGTGATTGCCGCTTGTTGTACATTGACTTAGATAATATTAATGTCAAGGACAGAGCGTGAACGCAATTCAACATTTGTTTAAGAGAAACACCGTTACGGTTTGGAGAGTGAGCTTGCGTGCATCACCCACTTGACAACGACCAGTGAATATTTCCTTTAGCACCGAACACATGAGAAACTAAGTTATTTGTCGTAGACGTAGAAAGAAGGTCTAAACGCTACAACCCTGCGTGGATCTTGTGGTAAAAAGGGCATATCGGAACAATAACCTTAAATTGAATTGTTAGAGTCTGGTAACTGCTTTGATCTAAGACCCCATAAGACCTAGGGTAGGTATAAGCGGGACAATGCTACCGCTCAAAATGAACCCTTTTTATTGCTTAGATGGGTGGACGAGCTCTCGGCCCACTAGGAGTCAACGGAGCCCATAGACCTATTACGTAAATGCCGCCACTCACCTCGAGACTGCCGCGAAGCAGTAATGCAATTCGGTTTGAAGGGTGAGGCAGCCGTTGTAACTATACTGAAACCTTAGAACTTATATCTCAAGGTGAGTGGCGGTAATTACGTTGTAGATGTCTATGGGCTCCGGTAACTACTTAACACCAGGTGTGCTGTGCACTCGTCCACGCATGTATGCAATAAAAAAAGGTTCATTTGGCAATCAAGCCGAGCAACTGGTATCAGCAGGCAGGTACAAAATTAAAATACGTACCTAATTCATGTTCAACAGTTAAAGAATACGATAAAACATGAAGGAATAGCTTATACAATAAAAATCGAAGCAGCAAAAAAAAATTAATTCGCATAGGACCGCAATTACAATTGAGGTTTCTAGTGTGGGGGTGCGGTTCACCTGATGATATCTTTGGGCTCCTGTGCATAGCCAATTTAAGACAAATGTGCCATTCGTCCTTCTCAAAAAATTTAATATCACACTAATTGGTACCTTGACCTCTAAGTTACAAAACGGACTTAAAAAAAACTACATAAAAACTACAAAGCACTTAACAAAGCAAAAGCAAACAAACACAGCCATACGTGCATTGAATTACGTAGCTCAATCAGTTATTAATACAGGTAACCCTATAACGCGGTAGATACGTTCCTACAAAGACGCGTGTTGTGTGAAACCGCGTTATATGAGACTAGAAGCCACTACAAAAAGGAGAGTCACATTTCTGTATGAATCATCTCAACTATGCCTATATGTATTTTTTTATCTATTATACATAAAAAATAAGCAGTAATATTTCGATTATTTCCATATATTGTGTATTCCTAGTGATTTTCTAAATAATTTCAAACAAAAATTACGTTATCGTGTTATAGACGGGGCGTTTTATATGAGGGTTTTGGGGAATTTTCTTTCCGTGTTAGAGTGGAACCGTGCTTGTAAAATACCGTGTTATAGGGGGGCTACATGTATTGTTGAAATTGTGGAAGGACTTCGAAGGATAACCTGTAGCGGGATTCATAAAATATTGTTACGCGCTGGGGTTCGGGATAAATAAAAAATTCTACCGAATTACAAGTTAACACTGTATTTATCACTAAAACACTTATCAAACACTTAAAACTCTCAATTCGTTTCTTCCGCTTCGCTTCAGGTGATCCGTTCGCTGTTTCGCTTCGAGTAGTTCCGATTACTGACTGACTGCGTGCCATCCCTGCAATGCTTTGATAGCCGATACGACATCCCTAGAATTATCGAGAATATTCCACACATCTCTAGTATTGTGTTTCCGCTATCTGACAATAGATGGCGTTGTACTTCTCGAACGTTCTAGGTGCTACTAGATCGTTCGATATTCGTTCGACTATTCGGCGATAGATGGCGTTACTCTTACCGGCGTAACAATATAATGTTACTGACCAAGCAAGCACCCTCTGATTCCTAAGCTAACTTGATGCGGGAGTATATTTCCCTCAACCCTAACAAAAGCAACTGCGGCTGTTTCTAAGTGTACCACCTTTAATTTAGGGCGGGTAGCGGTAATGGATGCCTGAAACTCGCTAACGATATTAACAAGATCAGTTCGCTTATATACAAGTTCCGAGAACAACAACATTCGGAACATCATAAATTCATCATCAGCCTGTATCTCTCCACTGCTTGATGTAGGCCTATCCCATAGTCCGCCACAATGAATGATCCCCCGCCTTCCGCTTCCAATTTTTTCCAGCATAGACATGTACAACGTAAATGCGCCACCCACCTTGAGATACAAGTCCTAAGGTCTCAGTATAGTTACAACGGCTGCCCCGCTCTTCACACCGATACGCATTACTGCTTCACGGCAGAAATAGGCGGGGTGGTGGTACCTGCCCGCGCGGACTCACAAGAGGTCCTACCAGCAGTAAAGAAAGTGGCTTTGCTGATTGTAAAGTTGCACGGTCAGGTTGGCAGTTCTATCATCACGCCATGCGCTTTGTAGGTTAAACAGAGGCACGCATTTACAGTCTTACGAAATATTTTTCGGTTTCGCAAATACTTCAGACGGCCGTATAATGCAAGACGCATTTTGTAACGCGACCATCAAAGCGTACGCTGCTTAGTTTCATACTTACACTCGTTCGATTCAAACGTGTTTCGTGGAGTTAATTTACAGAAATATCGAGAAAAAAATCATAAAGTATACGCGGTGAGTTTTTATGGAAACATAATATATTTTTTAAGAACAACCCAAAACCCAATTGAGTTTTATTGTCGTCTTTCGAGTCGTTTTTTTTCTTTCGGTTATTCATTTCCTAATCAGTGTATATATGTATTTAGCTCATCTGTATATCACATGGAAATTCAAGAGATTACGTTTACTTGTGAGATTTATGACAGTTCTGATGTTGACAAAGCAATCTCCGAATATAACAGATTTGCAAATTCAATGCGACAGTAACAAAATTCGTTAGCGCAATATTGAAAATTTTGTGCGTTGCTTTGTTCTAAGTTTTTTTTTGTCGCCTCTTAAGGGATGGTTCGAAAGATGGAGTAGCCGTCGATACAATCCCTCGACCACCATATCTCAGGGTAGGTGGCTGTGTTCACTGACTCCGGAAATTACATCAAACTTCTTTTTATCAGTTTTGCAATAATCAAAAATCGGATTTCGACTTCGACAATTCGCTTAATACGCGACATTTATATTTAAAAGAGCATTTTATTTGTTTTTTTTTTAATTGATTAGATGGTTGGACCATCTCACTGCCCACCTGATGTTAAGTGTTTACCGGACCCCATAGACATCTACAACGTAAATGCCGCCACCCACCTTGAGTCATGAGTTGTAAAGGTCTCATTTTGAACAGTACAACGGTTGCTCTACCCTTCAAACCGAAACGCATTACTGCTTCACGGCAGAAATAGGCGGGGTGGCGGTACCACCAGTAATTACGTAAATTATAATTTTGCGGGTTTGATTTTTATTACACGATGTTCAAAGCATCATCAGTTCGATGTTTTTAATTGAATTTCAACTAAGTTTACTCCATTCGTACAAAAACTACTTTTTCAGCTGTTCAGCTGTTTGTTTTTTATGTTTTTTACTGGTGGTAGAACCTCTTGTGAGTTCGCACGAGTATGTTACCATTACCCGGCCTATTTCTGCCGTGAAGCACTAATGCGTTTCGGTTCGAAGGGTGGGGTAGCCGTTGTAACTATACTGAGACCTTAGAACTTATATCTCAAGGTGGGTTTCGCATTTACGTTGGAATTGTCTATGGGCTCCAGTAACCACTTAACACCAGGTGGGCTGTGCGCACGTCCACCCATCTAAGCGAAAAAAAAAGTTTCTTCGATGTGAGAATCAAAATCGCGACCTTCAACGCATCAGTCAGGTTCCCCAAATACTGCATCGCCGAGTCAGTCAAATAGGGAATGAATAAATAAATCGTTTTTAAGAAGACTAGATCCCTTCCTACAAACCAACCGGTCTTTAAGCAAGCCAAGGACGTTCAGACCGGTGCAATTTTGTCACACACATGTCACATTAGCTGACGTATTACGAGTTTACTAACTTTTCTAAAACCGAGCCTGCTACGTGATTGTTTGACGTGCTTCCCAGAAACATAACAACGATCGCCTCAAATCTACGTAACCTAAAAAAAAAAACATTGCGCGGTTTGTTATTTGTTCTTCGTATCCGCGGTTTTTTTTTTATTGCTTCGATGGTTGGACGATCTCACAGCCCACCTGATGTTAAGTGGTTACTGGAGCCCATCGACATCCACAACGTAAATGCGCCACCCACCTTGAGATATAAGTTCTTAGGTCTCAAGTAAGTTACAACGGCTGCCCCACCCTTCAAATCGAAACGCATTACTGCTTCACGGCAGAAATAGGCAGGGCGGTGGTGCCTACCCGTGCGGACTCACAAGAGGTCCTACCACCAGCATCCTATCCAGGTCCTATCATAAAAACCTATAATAAAAAAAGTCAAAAACACTATTTCAATGATAATATCCCCCACACACACACACTGAGTTTCTTGCCGGATCTTCTCAGTGGGTCGCGGTTCCGATCCGGTGGTAGATTCTGCAAAGCACTGCTCTTGTTAGGACTAGTATTAGCAAATTCTCTCAGGTCGAGCCCGTGAGCTCACCTACCTATCCGGGTGTAACTAGAATAGCCTCTTAGGCTACCAGAAAATAGGTAGGGAAAAAATGGGACAGCTTTAACACAGTTCAGGCTTAAACATTATGCTTCATAATGGACTATAGCACTTCTTGAAGAGCGATCATGAGTTAATTCACCGGCTTAAGCGGGGAAAAACCGGTAGAGCATTGTTTTTGCAAAAAATCGAGTATTTAAATACCTAAATAACAAGGTTCAATAGATTGCTTATAGCATGAAGTCACTTATTTAACTCGTGTTGCATCTAACAACGTACAATACATACGTCTTTATATATAAGTCTTTGTTTAGTGGAAAATTTTGAGTTTAGATTCAGAGAAACATCTTAGTCGCAACTGCCACAGCGTTTAATGCATTTAGAATGTATATTTCGAAATTAAATCTATTTTTATGATTTCTACTAATAGCTGTACCCGTCCGCTTCGCTGGGCATTTAAGATTAACATTATTACTTCTCACCCCCACAAAGCTTCTCATCATTAACGCCCCCGCAACTGGTGTAGGGAGTCCAACACTCATTTAAATATTAGCCTATCCATTAAGTACATGTTTTTTCTACTTGGATACCAAGTTTCAAGTCAATCGGATGCACGGTTCAGTAGTTATAACGGTACGTCCGTAAAAACCACTGTAGATTTATATATTAGTATAGATTAGCGTCTGGAGTTTTCATTACATTATTTCCTATATTTTTGGAATAGGTACTTTAAGGTGTCTGTGGTCATTGTAAATCGTCTGCAAGATCAAACCTTGTTAGTTTGATCGACTCGGTGGTGCAATAGTTAGCGCTGGTAGCAAATTCCAGCTATGCCCGAACGGATTAGTGAACTTGTGAGAATTTGCTAACACTAGCCCTAGCAAAAGTAGTGCCTCGCTGAATCTACCACCGGATCTGAATCGCGACCCACTGAGAAGATCCGACGAGAAACTCAGTGGGCTGTGTCTATGGGTTAGTTCGACGAAGACGGAGACCGGTGCTTTAGGAACCTAAAAGCACTGAAAGTGGATCCAGGGGATCCGACAAGTCATATTTCCGGCGACGGCGACTTTGTGTTGCCCCGTCGCCTGGATCGGATAAGTAATTGACAGATTAGCGAATTAGAATAGCCCCTTAAGTTACCAGTGATTAGGTATGGGCAAAATGAGTTTATGGTCTTTGAAATCATCGTGGCCTAAGGGATAAAGACGTCCGGTGCATTCGTGTTGAAGCGATGCGCCGGTGTGCGAATCTCAGGCGGGTGCCAATTTTTCTAATGAAATACGTACTCGACAATTGTTCACGATTGACTTCCACGGTGAAGGAATAACATCGTGTATATAATAAAAATGAAACCCGCAAAGTTATAATTTGCGTAATTACTGGTGGTAGGACCTCTTGTGAGTTCGTACGGGTAGGTACCCACCACCCTGCCTATTTCTGCATTGAAGCAGTAATGCGCTTCGGCTTGATGGGTGGGGCAGGCGTTGTAACTATACTTGAGACCTTAGAACTTATATCTCAAGGTGGGTGGCGCATTTACGTTGTAGGTGTCTATGGGCTCCAGTAACCACTTAATACCAGGTGGGCTGTGAGGTCGTCCACCCATCTAAGCAATAAAAAATAAAAATAGGTTTTTTTTTCTCTAAATATTGTCAAAAGCGTGCGTTGCTTTCTGTTCACCCTGCCACCTTACCTGACTGTTATAATGAACGCACCGAATGGAGCTTAACGTCAACTGTCAAAAAACGATCACTCTGTCAGGATAAGCTCCTTCTCTTTTGTACCGCGTTTTCGGGAACACGTAAAAATGTATTAACGTTACGTTCCATTGCATCCATTTACTTATGTATTTGTGTGGTGTTAAAATAAAGGATTAACCAGTGACGGTGTTTGCTTACTGTACTTCTACACTGACAGTATCTATCCTAATCCCGAATATGCTGGAGGCAGCAAGGATGTAATCAATAGCGAGACGAAGCCACAGCTCGATCCGATTAATTCGACATCACGTTTCGAGAGTTAGTACATTCTAAAATTGCGAAATCCTGTGGCTGGAGGCTCGTTCAGTGCGCGGAGATTTCATCAACTTCGCTGCTCGAAGAAAAAGAACAAAAAAAAAAAAACGTGAATAGTGAGAAGGAAATTCTACCTGTTTCTACCTTGAAACAGCGCAATGCGTTTCGGTTTGAAGGATCGAGCAGCCATTGTATTGTAAAAACTGAGATCTTAATACTCATATCGCTAGGTAGGTTTATTAGCTCCGGTAACCACTTAATACCAGAAGGGCCGTAAGCTCGTCCTCGCATCTAACCAAAAAATCGGTTGTCTGTAAAGTCGGTTTACTGACGATAGTTGAACGCGACAACGTCATAAGAAAATACTGATGGATCTTCACTTCACTTCTTGGACTTCCTACTTGACGAAAACATGTAAATGTATTATTGTATAGCAGCTGTCCACGCGGATGCATCGCACACTCAAGTAGGAGAGAGACAGATGTCGAACACTGCCGAACGCGGAGGCCGATTGTGCCTCTTTGTCACTCGTTGCGCGCGCTCGCTTGCACTTCAAGCCCTAAATGGAACGCCTCAGCGCGAGGTAACGCCGCATGAGTCATGTTTTTTCGTGCGTGCAGCCGGCTCCATCGAATTATAAGACGTTGTCACGTCAAAAAAAAGAAACTCTTCTGTCCGTGGTATGTCTAATTACCAGACCAGATCCCTACTTAGTTTTATAACGCCTCAAACTTAGATCAGCTTCTCAGAGCTCAAATTTAACACACAAATACTTTATACAATGTAAGCCGTATGTTTATATCTGGTGGTAGATTCAGCGAAGCACTGCTCTTGCTAGGGCTAGTGTTGGCAAAATCTCTCAGGTTGAGTCCGTGAGCTCACCTACTCGCGTAGCTGGAATAGCCTTGGGTTACCATGAATAGGTAGGGAAAAAAACTGTATAAATGCCAGTTTTCTATTTTACTTTACTATACTTTAATATCATTTTTACTGGTGGTAGGATGTCTTGTGAGTCCGCACGGGTAGGTACTACCACCCTGCTTATTGTTGCAGCCGTTTCGGGTTGAAGGACGGGCCAGCTTTTGTCCTTAAAACAGAGACTTAGTTATGTTAGTGGTCACCCACTTACTTGTTTCAAAGTGGGTGACGCCTAACACCAGGTAGGGCGTGAGCTCCTTCACTAATCTGAGCAATAAAGTTAAAACTCCGCTTAGCTTCTGGAGTTAAGTCATCATCTTCTTATCCGTTAAGCCATCATTGAGGTTCCTTCACCGAATTAGACAGCCAGTTGGGATATTGCGAGTTAGGGCGATATATTCGCGAAGAAACTGCTCCTCTGTATCAGGTCTTCGGAGGCGCTCAGGCAGCTGCTACCCAACCCCACTCCTGGCTGAACCTTGCCCGACCACCTGTTCTAGTAACGCCGGAAAGGCCTCTTGGTTCGCAAAAAATCTCCCGACCCCAAATAAACCTTGAAGACACAACCGCGCGACCCCTTTAGCGTAATGACTGTTCATATAATAATATATTTAATTACGATAAATCCATTATTCTTAGAAGTGTAATCATTTGAAAACCCCATCTCGTATTGTGTTGTGTGTAATTTTAACAAAAACATGTTGTCTTTATATAACAGAGGATGTAAGTTTTTTTCCGTTTTATAATTGGAATAAAGTCGAATCGTGGTTCAATGATGATGACGTAAAGACGCGATACAAAAGACAATACTGTGACGAAATATATCGTGCAAAAACTTGTTGTGGATTATTAAGAGTCCATGCTTAATGTTTTTGATGTCGTCGTGACCTAGAGGATAAGATAGCCGGACTAGTGTCGGACGATGCGACATGCCGGTGTTCAAATCCCGTAGGCAGGTAGCGATTTTTGTTAAGGCATTTCTGGGAGTCCAAGTGTAAGCGCCAATAGCCAATCTCTTTCTGCTGTTCTTTCTGAATGGTGCCCGTTATACAATATAATTGAGATTTCGGCTTCCGAGAGTCACTTAACACTAGACGAATTGTGAATTCGATTACCCATTTCCGCGAAAAAAATATCAAACGTAGAAAATCAAGAACAGATAAAATATGTTAGCATAATAATTAGTGTGTTTTACTGAAGATAGCGGCTTCGTTGTGCCCCTGGCATAGCTGCTGTCCATTAGTGACAGTAACCACTTGCCATCAGATGGGCGGTATGCTCGTTTACCAAGAACGGCTAAAAACAATCACAAAAGCGCTCACATAAACGGTGTTTTTCCTAGTATTTTCTTACAAATCGCCACTGTCTTGCCAGAATAAGCCGGTAGTATTTCTTGTTTCTAAGCTCATCATTCGATTTTGAAGTGGGCAATAGCTATTTTTTTGTAAAACATTTCAATCTTAAATCTCGCGGTACAATGAATCTGTCAGGATCGAGTGTAACGTCCAATTTTCGGTCTGCTTCCAGAAAATTCTCACCTCACTCAAAGACAAGTAGATAACCTATAGTTATAATTAGCAGTGGCTAAAGTCGAAGTGTTAAGATCAGATCGCCGATCGCCCATGTGCTTATCAGACGGTAAATTCTTAATACTATAATTTCTAATTACTGTAATGGTTTGTTGACAGATGTCTTCCGAAGGATATTCAGCGGAGGAGGTGGACTCGATGCCGGATCGTATAGCGGCCAGCTTCAGTAACATGACAGTCCTGATCACCGGAGGAACAGGCTTCATGGGAAAGGTCCTGGTGGAGAAATTGCTAAGGTATACAAATTGAAATTTGCAGGAAAGTTCATGGAACATTTTTATTCGCTTAGGTTTTCCACAATCTTAGACGGTGGGATTAAGGGTGGTGCGGACCTAATCAGACCAAGGCATTGGAATGCGCCCCGCCATGTTTTTCTTTCCACTTTGCCAGTAGTTCCTCAACCCTAAGAATTAAGTAACGCCATTAAAGTTGAAATATGCTGATGTTTTAAAGCTGTTCTGTTGTATTTGCATACGCGCATGATGCTTCGTGGCTTAAATGAAAAAAATTAATGAACGTTTCAGATTGGTGGATTCTCTATCGATACCAATACTTATAATGAAACAGTAGAATCTCGTACATTGAGGAAAGATAGTAAATTGAGAAAAAGGCTAACTGCAGAACAGTAATAGAATATAAATCGGAGATCTTTTAGAATTATTGTTTGTCTGTTTGTAGTTTCGCGAAAATCTGGGATCACTGCCGGACATAGGTCTTGCCTTATCGTCCGCCGCAGCCTCCTGTCCTGCGACCTCCAATATCTCAAGTCCAGTATTCCAATAGTTCATCAGTACCCGTCCACTGATAGAAATAGGCCTCTCCTAACTCACATCACTGATTCCGATCTTTGGCCTTCCTCGACTATACCTTGCTAGCCACACTACGAAGGTCATCGCACCGTCTACCTAGGTGCACAGTTATTGTACGTAGGCATTAGGCTTCATCAGTACCAGATGTATAAATATATCCTTGTGATTTACAGGAAATGCGACGATGTGAAGAAGATAATACTCCTGGTCCGACCGAAGAAGTCGAAAAACCCGAAACAGAGACTAGAAGAAATGTTTAATGGAGAGGTAAGTCTCTATATTTCTCGATTCTGATATAAAGTACTGGTATTACGTGTAAAATTTAACGCAGCAATACCCTGACTTAGAAAATGAGGTAAGGAGCAGCTGCTGTCGTCCCAGACATGTCCTCTCTTTTTTTTTTATTGCTTAGATGGGTGGACGAGCTCACAGCCCACCTGGTGTTAAGTGGTTACTGGAGCCCATAGACATCCACAACGTAAATGTGCCACCCACCTTGAGATACAAGTTCTAAGGTCTCAAGTATAGTTTACAACGGCTGCCCCACCCTTCAAACCGAAACGCATTACTGCTTCACGGCAGAAATAGGCAGGGTGGTGTTACCCACCCGCGCGGACTCACAAGAGATCCTACCACCAGTAATTACGCAAATTATAATTTTGCGGGTTTCATTTTTATTACACGATGTTATTCCTTCACCGTGGAAGTCAATCGTGAACATTTGTTGAGTACGTATTTCATTAGAAAAATTGGTACCCGCCTGCGGGATTCGAACACCGGTGCATCGCTTCAACACGAATGCACCGGACGTCTTATCCGTTAGGCCACGATGACTACAAGATTTCGGATTCGCCCTTCGATTTTTTACTGGTAGTAAGACCTCTTGTGTGTCCGAACGGGTAGGTACCACCACCCTACCTATTTCTGCCCTGAAGCAGTAATGCGTTTCGATTTGAAGGGTAGAGCAGCCGTTGTTACTATACTGAGACCTTAGAATAAGAATAAAAAAATGCCCTGCCGCCAGTAAATGCCGGTTGGCGATCGTAGTACGCTCCTAAAATATTCAAGAAAGCTTCTGTCTCTTTTCCGATGAGTCCCTCAGTGGCCTGGATATTCTATATTATTCTATGCCGAAACCACGTACCCTGAACTATGTGAATCCTATATTTTCATTACGTAGCATCCTTTTTAACCTCAATCGGATTAAAGTGTGATGCAACAATACAATTGGGTTGCACTGGTCTTACGTGTAAAATTTAACGAAAGCAATGCCCCGACCTAGAAAACGCGGTAAGGGACAGCCACTATCACCCCAGACATGTCCTTTTGGGTTCCCCCTTCGCTTTTAGACATTCCGGTCAAGGTTTTGGAATAGTTCGACAAGTAACTTCAACCACAAACACATTTTTTTTTTTAATACGCTTTTATTAGCTTCAGACGTATGTATGTTTGTAACGGAATTTTTGAACATGATTTTGACCCCCTTCAAAACGTCGGATTAACTCGAAATTTGGTATACTTCTTAAGGACCGATGACAATTCAATACTAAAAAAAAATAATGAAAAAATTGAAATTCAACTAAAAAATGAAAAATAAATAACAGTGTTAAAAAACTAACAAAATACGCTTTTATAGAAAATCCAAGTAAAAGCTAGATTTTTTTTTTAATAAATTTGAATTAAAAATAGTGTAAGAAAAAAAAAAGCGTGGGGTGCATGTATCAGTAGTTATAAATATTTTATGAACAGATATGAGTAGAAGGGTTATTTTAATAATATCCTGAAAAGCACCCGACGCTTTTGTAGAATAAAATATTTTTTCTTACACTATTTTTAATTCAAATTTATTAAAATTTATTTTCTAGTTTTTAGTTGGATTTTCTATAAAAGCGTATTTTTTTAGTTTTTTAAACTATATATTTTTTCTTTTTTATTGCTTAGATGAGTGGACGAGCTCACAGCCCACCTGGTGTTAAGTGGTTACTGGAGCTCATAGACATCTACGACGTAAATGCGCCACCCACCTTGAGATATAAGTTCTAAGGTCTCAAGTATAGTTACAACGGCTACCCCACTCTTCAAACCGAAACGCATTACTGCTTCACAGCAGAAATAGGCAGGCAATCCACTGAGTTTCTCGCCGGATCTTCTCGGTGAGTCGTGATTGAAATCCGGTGGTAGATTCAGCGGAGCACTGCTCTTGCTAGGGCTGGTGTTAGCAAATTCTCTCGAGTTAAGCCCGCGAGCTCACCTACCCGCACGTATCTGGAATACCTCCTTAGGCTACCAGTGAATAGGACCAAAACAAAAATCACGTTCTACGCAACAGCATAGCCTATTTTAAAAGCGATAATGATTCATTATGAATTGGCAATACACGTAATGCTTTCACAAGAAACATTCGGCGCCTCGGATTCAATCCCACGGCCTAATTCGTCGCATACTAGGCCGCATGCCTAATCTAGAATTAATTAAGTTAGGCAATTGCAAACACTAATTAATAAGACACAATTGTGTACCAGCAGATCGGTAGTGGTGAAACAGACTCAGTTTGTATGTTTTTATTGCTTAGATGGGTGGACGAGTTCACGGCCCATCTGGTGTTAAGTGGTTGCCGGAGCCCATAGACATCTACAACGTAAATAAGATATAAGGTCTCAATTATATGCGTAAATCAGCTATACTATTCATTCAACTGGCAACGTAGTAGAAATAGGCAGACGGTGGTACCTACCCATGCGGACTCTCAAGACATCCTACCACCAGTAAATATTCTTCGAACATCGCTTCGTCATGGGATATGGCTCTGATGCCGGGCACATCCAAGTTTCTGCCTAGAGCTAAGTACTCTCCTCGAGCCGCATCCGAAGAAGCATATTCCATAGCTTTTAGAAAAGCACCAGTAATTTAAAATACTCAACACCAGCCGGGCTGCATGCTCACTGTTATTAAGGATAAATAGTAGTTTAAAATAAAAGAAACCTTCGGATTAATAAACAAAATAAAAAAGTCCACGATGAAGCTACAATTTTGTTAAATTTAATTGCATAAAGTCAGTTGATAATTATGAGAATAACTTAATTTGGTTAATTAAAACTCGAAAAAACTTTAATACTTAACATCATGGAGTGCCAGCGTCAGGGGTCAAGGTCGCTCAGCTCCTAATCGACAATGTATTTTGGTGTTCAAAAATGAAGCCAAATACAAATGAGCCCGTTTTTCTCCTACCAATTCGCTAGCAAGAGGATATTCCAGTTACGCGCGGGTAGATGAGCTCACGGGCTCAAACCGGAGAGATGCTAACACTGACCCTAGCAAGAGCAGTGCTTCGCAGAGTCTACCAACGGATCGGAAACGCGACCCACTGAGAATATCCGGCGAGAAACTCAGTGGGCTGTGTCTGTGGGTTAATTTATTCGTCGAGCCCTTCGTCGTAAGCGACGGGTTCGACGAGTACGATGACCGGGATCCGGCGAGGAACTCAGTCGGTTAATGCTCTTAAAGACATTAATTTGTCAAGCTCGCCGTATTTCAAGTCATATTGTTATATGAAATAGTCGCATGTGGTTGGAAATTCATGAGTTTTGTCATGTTCCAACTTAAACAGCGCAGAGTATACAGGGTGTAGGGTTTTAACCCTTTGACAGCCGTGTAGGTCACCGGTGCCCCACATGGCGCCCTCAAGTAATTATCTCGATTTCTGTGGGTTCTGCATGCGCCATTATACTTGGTAGCTGTAGTGAGAATTAGTCGATAGATGATGTCTATACTAATATTATAAAGAGATTTGTTACAATAAAAAGATTTGTTTGTTTGTTTGTATTGAATAGGCTCCAAAACTACTGAGCCGATTTGAACAATTCTTTCACTGTTTGGAAGGAACACTATTCCTGAGTGACATAGGCTATAATCTTATTTGAAAAAAATTCGTGTTCCTTACTAAAAGTCCAATAATGTAACCCAAGGTGTAAAAAAATTTCCTAAAATATTCTTTACATTGCGTGCCCTGCGAAAACTATTGATGATAGAATAAAATAATGTACTACGACTTTGTAGAACAAATTATTATTTACAAAAAGTGTCGCGACCGCATATGTCTAACTATTATAGTTTTACCGCAATAAGTGTAATTTTATTTAAAAACATAAAATAACGTCAAATATCGTTGACATTTTTGTTGAGGACCCGAGCGGCGCTGGAGCGGGCTGCTAGTCGATAATATAGTAAGTGGAAGCGTTAATTCAACACTATTTATTTTAACTCGCAAAATTGATGAAATCCATTCGAAATTACCTCTTTTTTATCGTTATGTTTTTATTTTAATTTACAAAATTTTATTTTATTCTTGTTTGCAATTTTGTTTTTATAACATCCTCCACGGTCAACTTTGCATTTTAATAGAACTTATTGTTTTTACTAATGAGAGTTTGAGATACCCATTTTTTGTGTGTGTATAATTACATTCTATGCAAAATAATTTTTTGAAGATTGCACTCACTGGGTATAAAATTTCCCACACTTATAAAGAAAAGTAGGTAGTGCAGAATGCTAATAAATTCTTTAAAGTTATGCATAAAAAATACATTAAATCAATAAAAAAAACATTGCACACACTAACATGTATTGTGATACACACACACACGCATATCTAGGTACTCTTTTGTTTATTGTTAAAGTCTGTCGTCAAATTGAGAATAGATTAATATTGTTTGTCTTTAATATTATTTGTCTATAGTGTAGCCTTGGCGAAATCTGTGATTATAGAACATTGATTATTATAGAAATGTGAGAATAGAATCATGTTAAAACTTATAATTTAAATTAATTATGGTCGAACTTCGACCAGAGGTAGGTTCAACCTGAGAGAATTTGCTAACGCTAGCCCAGCAAGAGCAGTGCTTCACAAAAAAAAAGTATCTAAGGTTGTGATTGATAAAACATCGTCAACTTTCATTGTCTATTTAGGAAATTCAATTAATAAACAAAAAGGGGAACGGCAAGCATAGAATACCAATAAACCTCTCCTTTCCGTCATATAATCATTCTCCTGCCCTTCTCCCAGTCACCTGGGATCCGCGCAACACGTCTTCTCCTTCCATACTCCCTCTATCATATACCATTTCTTCGCTCACTCCCCTCTTACATATATCGTCTTTTACGCAATCCATCAATTTCTTCTTAGGTCTACCTCGCCTCTAATAATAAACCTCCTCTTTCCGAAACTAGAAATAGATTTGAGTGAATTTAAATCAATTTCAATCATTGAG